GGTGGTGACATCACAGGTGGGTTATTGCAAAGGGCGCCCTATTATCCTTGCATTGCTTCCCTGGGTGCAACATGTGTGTGCAACCCAAATAGATCAGTGCCTTGCACGCCCCATTTTGTGCCGCTCATGTGGCCATTTCTGGTGGTCCTAGCAGATTTCCAACAGTTAAAAACTTTTCAGATCTGACAACTTTGAATACCACACCCTTCCTCTCTCCATCCACCCTCCCTACACGGCTACCAAATCATTCCAAGATCCTATGTGGAGTAATTTCTTTCTTTCTCACTGTGAAGGCTTTTATCATACACTAAGTCCCCATCTATCTTTGTATTTAGTACTTGGCTCTATCCTGTTCCATCAGTTTATCTGTCACTCTGATACCAGACCAATCAAAAAATGGGCAACTGAAATAGACACTGAACAGAAGAGGTACAAATGGCCAATATGTATATATATGAAGAAATGCTCAACATCTCTAGCCATTAGACAAACGCAAATTAAAACAACACTGAGATGGGCCGGGGATTTAGCTCAGTGGCTCCGCCACCTCCCTCACAAGTGTAAGGTCCCTAGTGTGATCCTTGGTACAAAAAAAAAACCCAAAAAACAAAACTGAGATTCCACCTTACCCAAGAAAGAATGGCTATCATCAAGAAATCAAATAAAGACAAATGCTGCTGAAGCTGTGGAGGAAAAGGAAACCTTCTACACTGTTAGGGGGAAAGTAAACTAGTACAACCACTTTGAAAATCAGTGTGGCGATTCCTCAAAAAACTGAAGCTAGAAATCCCACTTGACCCAGTTATTCCTCTTCTAGGTATCTTCCCCAAAACAGCTAAAGACAACATATTACAGTGACATATGCATACCCATGTTTATAGCAGCACAATTCATAACAGCTAAATCTTGGAAGCAGCCTATATGTCCGTCAACAGATGAATGAATAAAGACAATGTGGTATTTACACACAATGGAGTAGTACTGTGTCATAAAGAAAGATAAACTTGAGTCATCTGTAGGAAAATGGATGCATCTTGAAACTCTAATGTTAAGTGAAATAAACCAGAAACACAAGCTTAAGTATGATGTGGTTCCTCTTATATGAGAAACCCAAAATATAAATGAAGATCAAGATAAAAGATAGATTATAGAAGGCAGATCTTTCTAAAAAGGAAACAAGATCAAAAGATGGAGGGAGGAGGAAAGGGAGGGAAGAAGATGGAAAAAGGAACAAAGATGTGTTATGTGCATGTACCAACTCCCCAAAAGGAATGTAAATGTTGTATACTACAAACATCTACTAATAAAATAAATAAATAAAGATTTAAAGAGTGAAAAAGAAGAAAGAAAAAGCCCTCCCTTTTCCATGGGAGAAAGTCACTTGAAATCAGAAACACACAAGAAACCTTGACTAAGAAAGTCACTCTTCAAGCCCCCAGCCCTCCTCCTGTTCACAGCCTGGATTCCCACTTCAGAAAGAAAGAGAGCATCACGGTCCTCATTCCGCTGCTACCGTCATGCTCCTTGCGTGGCACCACTGCTGCCATCCTAACCACACCCCCAACCTCCCCTGGACTCCTTTTCCCCACTCAGAGCTGCTCTTCCTCCTCCTTCCTGGAGGAGCCAACCCATGAGAAGAGTGGTCCAGTGCTGCTCTCTACCCTCTCTCGCCTCCCCTCGGTCCTCACATGAACAGTTATTTTGCAGGCAGGCTTTCTGGTATGCAGATATGATTTCATGTTCCTGTGAGATATTTAGGTTCAGGGGTTTCTAGACTTTACAGAAGGCAAGTTTGGTCTGGAGGTAGAAGTTTCACATTCAATGTTTTGTTTTAAGTACTGCATACATATGGTAGAAGACGATCAGACAAAAGAAAGGTGATGAGTCCCTTGCCAAGTTCTCTCCCAGGAGAGCACCTGATACATCCTTCTTGTGTGACCATCCTTGTGTGTTGTTGTAAGTCAGCTTTATAGGCAGGGACCCGTGCGGTCACACAGGGTTCCACCCACACTTAGCAGGGACTTGAGCTCCACTTAATGCTTTGTTACTGCAACTGTGAAATTCTTGATTTTTGAACAAGGAGCCCCACATGTTCATTTTGCACTGGACCTCACAAACTATGTAATAAGTTCTGTTTAAACATATAATATATGCACATGCCCCTCCTATTCCTTTACCATTTGATTTGTGTGTGTGTGTGTGTGTGTGTGTGTGCACACGCATGTGTGTGTTAGGGACTGAACCCAGGGTCTTTGCACTGAGCTACACCCAAAGCCCCCTTTCTCCCTTTTTAAAATTGAAATTTAAATTTTGAGACAAGTTCTTGCTAATTCACTAAGTTGCCCAGGCTGGGCTAAAACCTGAACCTCTTGCCTCAGCCTCCGAGAGTGGCATTGGTAATTCTTAAAACAATGTATGTGGATGAAATTTCCCAGGGAGAAGATATAATAGCCATCAGTGGTGCTTGCCAGTATTTCTGCTTCTTCTGTATCTGGATACAGGGAGGATATGTGGTGGAACTGAATTTCCTGCCCTAGGTCCTAGACCAATGGTTGGGTGGGACCAAGTGACTAATTTTTCCAATGAGTACATCATCTGTAGGTCACAGCATCGAATTACTGCCATGAGCCCTCCCGGGTTCCTAGTCAAGAGTCCAAAGCAGTGGCTGCTCTGTGATCTTGCTCTCTGATGACTGCAGAGACCACAGCTTTCTGGATGACCCATAATGAACGAGTAGTGTGGGTGAGAAATAAATCATCATTGTTTTAGACCAAGAGCTTCTGAAGGTGCTTTGTTACTGTGGCATGATCCACCCTGTCCTGACTGACAGAAGCATGGAAAGTGATTGGAAGGAGTTGTGGGAGCTGATAGTTATGGGGGCGGGGGAGAGAGAGAGAGAGCGCCATAGAGGCCAAAATGAGAAACTAGGAGAACAGGAGACCCGGGGGAGTCATTGACATGGCCTTTCGGTCTGGCTCCTTTCCCTGAGCATGCCATTTTCAAGCTTCATCCATGCTGTAGAACGGGCCAGTGTGTCATTCTTTTTTATGGCTGAATAATATTTCATTGTATAGATAGACCACATTTTGTTGATCCATTCACCAGTGGATGGACGTTTGACTTCTCTGCCTGTTCACTGCTATATCCACTAATTCTTGTGCTCTTGGAAATGGATGGATGGATGGACAGACGGGTGGATGAATAAATGAATGAGGTCACAGAGTTGTTACAACAGAAAGCTAAGATTGGACGCTGGGCAGTGGCCCTGTAGACCCCATGTTCTGACCATCAGCTCTACTACCCCAGTGGGAGTCCTTTTCCTCTCGTCTCTTGAAAGGGTGAAGATTCCCACCTCTCTGAAGATTCCTGCCACTGCAGGAGAGCAGTGGCATACTGGAGTGCAGTGATAGCAACAGGGCCGTTTACCACAGTGTGGGGAGGGAGGAAAAGGACTGAAGGAGAATGAGTGGCCTGGGGCTGCCAGTGGGAGCCCTGCCCAGCCAGGCCAGCAGGAGGAAGTGGTGCCCAGAAGCCTGACCACCATGCAGCTGGGCAGGGAGGGGCCGGGAGACCCACAGCCAGTAGCCGCTCTCCAGTCTCCTGAACAGGAAGCTAGGGCAGATGGGAGCCAGCGCCGCTCAGATGGGGCAGAAAATGCAATGAGCTCAGACTGGAAAAGTAGAAACCTGCCTGGCCACTTACTGGGCTGGAATAACAGAAACAATAAAGCCAGCTGCAGAGCTACTTGCCTGTAGCTATGAAGTGCTAATACCCTGCCCTATTTTCCAGTGACTGCTGCTTTCTTCCTTCCTCAGAAACACTGCCCTCTGAAGTCACAGACTATCAGAAAATTTGCTATTTGTGACTCCGACTAAGAACGAAGTGTTCTGTTTTTGCCTGGAGGATCTAAGTCACCTTGACCCACAGAAGCACCTTGGCTATGGAGCTTTATCTTTTAGAAAAAGAGTTTCTGGGTGCAAGCTTGGCATTGATTTTGACTTTCTTGCTGCAAAGCCCATAGAGCCCAAGGACCACTTTGCAAGCCATATTTGAAGTTGGGTGCTTTATACCCCGCTCTCCTCCGAGCCCGTCATAACCCCATCTCCTCCCTTGTTTGGTGATGTCCTGGGCTTCTCTGGTCAGATGTCTCCTTCACGGAGTGGTCAATAAACCTAGTTTTCCCAAGCAGGGTAATGCATGCCTGTAATGCCAGCTACTTGGCAGGCTGAGGCAGGAGGATCACAAATTCCAGCCCAGCCTTGGAAATTTGGTGAGACCCTTTCTCAAAATAAAAATTTGAAAGGGGGGGGTGGTTGGCAATGCTCAGTGGTAGAGTACCTGTCTAGCACAGTTCAGTCCCCAGTACCAGTAAAAGAGGAGGAACAGGAGGAGGAGGAGATGGAAGAGGAAGGGGAGAGGGGAAAGAGCAGAAAAGGGTTTGGTTGTGATTTTATTGAACTACAGCTTTGTTCCTGGTGATCTGGGGCTGACTGGTCAACCAGCTGCTACACAGAGCAGTGCAGAGTCAACCTAGAGGATCAAGTGGGAAAGGCCCGGCACAGAAATAAAGTCCTTTCTCTGCACAGCTAACCTGATTCCCCTTGCTGTCTGCAGAGCATTGCCAAGGACAGGGGTGGGAGGGGACACTCTTTCACCCAGTGCTGTACGTCCAGGGCTGAATAAAGGCGGTAAAAATGAATCAACCTCAGAGTGGAGCTGAAGGCGATGGAAAGATCTAGACCCTTTCTGAGGCACAAAGGAAGTGCAAGTTCTGGTGTCACTTGAAGGGCTGCCCCTTCCTGCCAGTTGAAATGGGTTCAAAAAAACAAAAGCAAAGGGGGTGGGGAGAATTCTAAAAATGCCCGTTCTGTGAACACCATCTTTGTGCAGGCTTCCGGGGGCGCCAGCTGGGGTGGGGTCACTGCCAGCCCAGCCTGCAGGACTCTGTTCTTCTTGTTTATCCCCGGCGCATCTGGGGCGGCTGCCAGGGCCCGCCCCCACACTGAGGTCATCGGAGGAATCAAAGCTCAAGGCTCCTGCTAAGAATCAGGAGGTTTCATTTTGCTGTTCCTGGGGGATCTTGCTGTGGTCCAGCCTGGGACGGTGGAGCCCAAGTCCACAGGAGCAGGGCAGGAGCCTCCTACCATGCCGGGCTGCTCCTGCTGGAATGATGTTTTCCAGTATGAGACAAACAAGGTGACCCGAATCCAGAGTGTGAACTATGGCACCATTAAGTGGGTTCTGCACATGATCGTCTTCTCCTACGTTAGGTAAGTGGGGTGTGCGCGTCTCCGCAGTGCGAGACAGCACAGGAAACCCTAAGGTGCAGCCCCAGTGCACATCCTGAACGCCATGTGGGTTTCAGTTCTAAGAAGCCATCACGAAACAGGCTGGGAGAAAGCAGTGCTGACTGCAGCAGGAGGAAGCTGGGGCATGCGGGAGGGCCAAGCTCTGTATTCCTAGGGAGGAGCAAGGATGGCGGGGCACACCTGGCGACAGTGCTGGCGTGTGACTCATCAGGCTTCACGGGAGGAAAAGGACCAGGCTTGTAAATGTCACTTCATGTTCTCTCCAAATGTCAGGAAGATCCAGTCTTGTTTTCTTTTCTTAACAGCTCTGGGATGTAATTCATACTCCATGCCCATTTAAAGTGTATGATTCTACCTCAGTTAGTGCACTCGCAGCACTGTGCAGTCATCACCATGGTTTTAGAACACTCACCAGCCCCAAACGAATCCCATGCCCTTAGCCGTCACTCTCGACCTCCCTGCAACCCCTCAGCTGCAGACCCCTGCTGATCTACTTTGTGTCCGTGCAGATTCACCTGTTCTGGGAACGTGTGAAGAGAATCATACATACGTGGTCCTTTGCAGCTGGCTTTTTTCTCTTGGCGTGTATCAGTTCTTCATACTTTTCTATGGCTGAATAACAGCCCATTGTATAAATAGACAACTTTTAAAAATTTTTTAGCTTTTTGAGATATGTAGCTCAGGCTGGCCTCAAACTCGTGGTTATCCTCCTGTCTCAGCCTCCAAAATGCCGGGATTACAAGCGTGTGCCACCACGCCCAGCTCAAGACCATTTTATTTGTCCATTCATCAACAGATGGGCATTGGGGTTGGATTTTTTTTCCCGCTATCATGAATAATGCAGCCACAATCATGGGTGTACAGGTTTCCTGTGGACAAGCGTTCTCATTTCTCCTGAATACAGACCTAGGAATGGAATTGCTGGGTCATTCGGCCTCTGCATTTCACTTGCGGAGGAACTGCTGGGCTGTTTTCCACAGCAGCTGCACCTCCGCAATTTCAGCCGGCAAAGGGGGAGGCTCCTGGTCTCCCCAAACCCCCAGCCCTTGTCACTGTGACTTTTGCTGCTGGTGACTTGGAGATGGTTTCACAATGTGCTTTTACTTGCATTTTCTGGTGGCAAACGAAACGTCTTTCCTGTTTCACACCCCTGCAGTGGGGGTGATGGTGCTAAGCTGTTATTGTCACCTACTTTACAATCCCAGTCACATCTCCCTGGCCAAGTCACTTAACCTCTCTGAGCCTCAGGTTTCTGTGTCTGTTCATCTGGTTGTTGTGATCATTAAACAAGAAATGGTGTAAAAATCCCTTATCATGATGACTGGCATAGGATAAGAGCTCCATAACTGGTAACTGTTCTAAAAAAATCATCTTTGTGAATATATTAGATGTTTTTCTATACATTCTCTCCTTTGGAGTCTTAAAGTAATCACATCCAGGCTTGGGTTTGAGAATTGGAAATGTGGATTGAAATAACTTGCATCTCTTTGAGGCTTGGATTCCTTGTCTCTGAAATGGGCTGATTGTTGGGCCTATTAAATGAGGAAATGGATACAAAGGTACTAGAGAAATACATGGCACATGGCAAGCCCTTATTAAGTATTGGTTGTTATCAATAATGCTATCATCAGGATTATCATTATTGGATTCATATGTTTACTATTCAACAAATATTAAATGATAACCATATGTATTAAAATTCTAAAATAAGACATTTAAAATAAGACTTAGGCCAGGTAGCATAGGAAAAATGGCAAAGGGCATAATTAGTTAGTAAATGCTCCCTCTGTGGCAGTACATGACTTATGTGTCACAACTCCATGCAGCAGGTGAAGTGATTCCTAGCATTCTTGGGTCCAGCACACAATTTCTCATTCATTCATTCATTCATTTGAGACAAAGTCTTTCTATGTAGCCCAGGCTGGCCTTGAACTTATGGTGATCCTCCTGCCTTAGCCTCCCAAGTTCTGGGATCACAGGTGTGTGCCACCATGCCCAACTATGCCACAATTTCTTAAAAGCACATTATGGTATCTGTAAGACCAGATGACTGTGAGAACATCATATAACAACAACTACTTTTTCTTTCGGAAGGTGGGATCATGCCTTAACAGGGAACTCCCTCAAATTCAGCTGTCCAGGTTCTATAGTGACATGGAAGGGGGTGTAATTTACCTGGTACAGAGATTCCCCCACTGGGTGCCCTAGAATAAGTATGAGATGGGATACCTGAGTCTGGGGTTCCCTCTGTCACTCTCTGTCCCTGTGTGCTTCTCAGCGCAAGCGTCTTGACACTTACTCCACCCTTTAATCTAGATACAAAATCTCCACCTAATGTGGCCCCTAAAATAAACCAACTCCTCACCTTCACCTGGAGCAAAACTGGAAGAATAGTACAGTATCTTGTTTCAGAGCTGCAAGGGGAACTGGCTACAAGGGCCTGCTGGGAGGCAAAGATCTTTTTGCTATGCTCTGTGGACAAGTTAAGGAATCACCAAAGGTAATTTTGACCACATATCTTAAGTGCTGACCTTAGAAGATAACTCTCATGTAAAATGCTTCTTTTCTGTTTATATTTTAAAATAGAAAATGGAAGGCAAATATTGCTAGATTTGCTTTCTTTCTTTTCATTAGTGGGATAGAAATGTCTCACTGGATGGAATCTCAAAGCACACAGCTTGGGGATGCTGCCTCGGGCTTCTCTGGGAGGCCTAGATGGAAATGAGACTTAGGCATCTGGGAAATGGGGGACTCACAGTGCTCACGGCATCAGTAGGACTGGTATGGACCACAAACAGAAGTCCAGACAGACGTCAGCCTTGTTCGGGACAGAGCAGCAGGTGATGGGCTCTGGCCATCTGTCCCTGCTTGGGCTGAAAAAGCAAAGAACTGGCTAAAGAAGTAAAACAAGGCCCCTACTGAGCCTCGGACACAAGGCAAGGGCTGGCCTTTGGAGAAACAAGACAAGAGGCTGATGAGCTCCTCGGAGCCTCATAACCGAGCTCAGATCTGGAGGCAGAGGCAGGGATTCAGCTACAACAGGCATCAAGCAACTCCAGCTTCTGGGGTTGCAGGCTTGGGTGGACAGGATGCGGAACAGGACTTTATTAGTAAGAATTGGGGGGGGGAGTGATAAGTGACAGAAATCTCACTCAAGTTAACCACAAATCCACGGGGGTATTTATTGGATTGTCTACCTGGGCAATCAAAGACATGGAGCTGTCCTTAGAAACGGGTGAATGTAAGAGTTCAAACTCTCCTATCGAGGTGGTTCTGTCTCTCCACAGCTTGGCTCTACTTGGCTCTACAGATGCTCCTTGACCTTATGATGATGGGGTTATGGGCCCCTAACCCATCATACATCACAGCTTGGCAAACAGCACCCTTAGAGGTCAGTCATGGACCCTCCTGCTCATGTGACTGGTGGGAGCTCAGGTTCCCTGCCACTGCTCAGCATTTCCAGATAGTAATAATGTGGCCCATATCACTAGCCCAGGAAAAAAATCAGAATTCAAAATTGGAAGTACAGTTTCTACTGAATGCCTATTACTTTCACACCATTGTAAAGTTGAAAAATCAAAACTTAAATCGTTAAGTTTGCTTCTTCCAGAACAGGTTCTCACATAGCAAGATGGCACACTCATATCCTCACATCCTCTTTCCTCAATCCCAGAGGAACAAACAAGCCTTTCCTGGTAACTCTGTCAACAAAGTCCCAGGAGAGGTTCTTATTGGTCAGGTTTGAGCTACATACCCATTCTTGAACCAATCACTGTAGCTAGTGGCCTTGATGTCATCTGATTGGACAGCCCTGGGTCATGTGCTAATTCCTGTGTCAGGAAGTAGTGAGACCTGGCACAGTAGTGAGACATCCAGTGGATTTTTCTCAGGAAAGAATTCTGTTACCAGGAGTGGGAAAAAGAAGCACGGAGTTTAGACAGACAAAAACCAAATATCTATGACAAGGTCTTTTCAAAAGCCAGAGATTCCAGGGTCTCTGAAGTCTACATCAGTTGTCCTGGTTTATCTTAGCCTTGCAGTGGGCTGTGGAGACTCAGCCTCTGGTTAATGCTGTGGCTGGGCCCTCTGTCTCCTTACCTAGGGCCTTCCTCAGCCCCTTCAGGAGACTTGCTCCCCACTAATGGATGCTGCTTGGACCATGGGGGCTGCTGACTCACCTGATACTTCACTACTGTTCAGTTTGCTTGTGACCACCCGCACTTAACCAAGACACCTGTGAGTCTACCACCTCGATGAGTTCTTCAGATCTTATTCCAAGGAAGACAAGAGCTGTAGGAGACTTATAAGCAGAGAAGCAAAAGATATTTGCATTCTCTTGGGAAGATTTCCCCCTTCCCCAGAGTCCAGTCCTCTCAGATGATTGTCCAATGCCCAGAGAAGATTAGGGAAGTTTGAGAGGGAAACAGAACAAACTCCACTCACAAATGCTGCTTCTTCTCCTCCTCTGGGCAACATCCACTGGAGGCCACCATGAAGGTGGAGGAGGCACCAGAGGACAGGGAGGAGCAAATCCAACCTGGCCATGGCTCCTATGGCCTCTAAAGGGAGCAGAAACATGAGGGAATTCATCATATTCTCTTCTCATTCTTGCCTCTGGTGATGCGACAGACTTTGGGGCACAGGGGGAATGAGAGAAGAGTTACTGCAAGAGAGGAATCCAGCCACATGACACATGGGACCAACAGAACAATAAATGCAAAGGCCTAGAAGCAAAAAAGAACAGCAAGCCTAGCAGGCTCCAGAACATTCTGAGAGAGGAAAGAGCAGGAGCCGGGAAAGGGAAGAGTTGGCATCCGATTCTCAGTGGCTCTGGAAAGTTTGACACAGGAGACTGGAGCCATCTGAGTCACGTGTCTACAAGCTCAGCCAGCCGTGTGGAGAGTGAGGACCGTGGGAGAGGCAAGAATAAAGCCAGAGTCACCCAGAAGAGAGAAGATGGT